TTAAGTAGTTGATTTTAATTATTTATTTCCCAATATTTGCTTATTACCATTAACTGACTGACCTCTGAGTACTGCTTTTGCTGCACCCCAGAGGTTTTAGTATGTTGTGCTTTCACTTTCATTTGTTTTGAAAGTTTTTTAAATTTCATTTTCCTTTTCTTCTATTATCTAGTAATGGTTGTTGTTGTTGTTGTTGTTATGTGCTGTCAAGTCATCTACGACTCATAGCCTCCTGCTCTGTCCTGAGCAAGTCTCAATAAGTCCAACACACCTACCCTTATTGTCCCAGTCACTAAGTGAATTAATCTTATTCAGGGTCTTCCTCTCTTTCACTGCCCTTCTACCCTTCCAAGTATTATGTCCCTCCCCAAGGACTGGCTCTTCTTTGCAACATGCACAAAGTATGTCAGAAGAATCTTCAAAATCATTAGCCTCCAGGGAGCAGTGTAGTTTGTTATACTAGCAGTCCATGGTATATTCATTATTCTCCTCCAGCACCACAACTCAAAAGTATTGATTCTTCTTCTCTCATGCTTAGTCATTATCTAGCTCTCTGATGCACAGCAAATGATTGCAAAGACCACGGCCTGAATCAGGCATACGTTACTCTCTAGATTGACATCGTTGAACTTCAGTACTCTGGAGAGGTCCCTAATAACAGATTTCCCAAATGCAATTCTTTTGATTTCCTGGCTGTTCTAAGCACAGAAGTACACATGAAGAATTCTGTCATTTTGTAAAACAGATATCTTACAGACCAAGATAAGACGGTTATTCTTTTTTCTTTTCTTTTATTTTTCCCCCTCTCCTTGTAAAGAGATTGACGTTTTGAGGGTTTGCTTCTTCTCTTTTAAATTGTAGTTAGCAGATTCATTTTACTTGTAACTCCTAAGTATTGTTTTCAGTGCTCAGGCTGAAACGTCAGTGTAACATTACAGTCCTCTTCATAGAGTGAAGCCCACCACCATCTGAGAAGGGGACAGGGGAGGAGAGATGGGGAATATCCCCAGACCAGTGCCAAAATACGCCTTTAGGTTGCTATTTACAAACCTGGGCGTCCACAGCCTCTAGCAGGCCCAAGAAACACGGAAGTCACGTGAACCAAAACAAAAGGAACAATGTGCCCAGGCTCAGCCTCTCCTGGGTTTTGATTAGTTTATAAATCAACTGAGGCTGGCCACGGGCTTCCAATCAACTCAGGAGATCCGGGAAATATTAGGAAATGTTAAACAGATCTCCAAAAACCACCCTTTTGAGCGAGGAACAAATGCTCACTCAGTGTGTACTCAGATATTGCATTTACAGGGACAGACCAGACACAAAGAAAAAGTTGGGAAAGGGGGGAGGACGGAAAAAAAGGAGTGGCAGTAAAAATTGTATTTTATTCCACCCCCTCCCACCCTCCCTCCCCCTGCAACCCCCAGTACACTTTTCCCCTCTCGATCCCACAGCAACGTTACAATCAGAAAAAAGTAAGTTTCGGGGTCGGGATTTGGGGGAGAGGGTATGGGTAAAAACAGTCAAGTCACAATAGGAATTTTCAAAATAGGTTATTCCGCTTAGTCATTGTCTTCTTCCTCATCATCAGGCTCTAGTTTTCGCTTCTGACCCCTTTCTTCTTCTCCAAGATCTTCTTCATCTTCCTCGTCATCGACTTCCCCATCATTATAACCGTCTTCATCTTCCTCCTCCTCAATGCTCACATCTTCCTCTTCACCTTCCTCCTCCTCATCCTCATCTTCCTCGTCTTCCATTAGCTGAGCGTCTTCATCATCTTCTTCCTCATCCTCCTCATCCTCTTCGTGGTCCAGGCCCTCCACGTAGCCCTCAGCATCCGAGTTAGATGCTTCCTTGTCATCCTGGTCGTGGCCATCAAGATATGTGAGTTGTGGGAGGAGCTTGAATACGTTTTCTCAGTAGTTGTTCAGGTAAGTTACCTCACAATTGAAAAGGTCTAAGCTCTTGAGGTTTTCTAACTTTTTCAGTGGCTCTATTGTGCTGAGGTCTTTAATTTTGTTGCCACTTAAATTTAGATGCGTGAGGTTCGGACACTTTTCTGCCAAAACTTCGAGGCCCCCTGAGATTCTGTTATCGCTTAGTTCAAGCTTCTTAAGTTTGTTTAACTTCGGTAAGTTTGCGACTGAGGTGAGGCCTACGTGGATTGTACTTAAGAACTCCAGTTCTTCAAATTCATCCGTGAGGCCTTCAATCTGGCCTTCATTTGACCGACAGTTGTCCAGGACAAGCTCTTTCACATCAGAGGGCGTCCTGTTCCGCAGCTCTAAATGAATCCGTTTGTCCAGTTCCATTTCTCGCTTGCTCTCTCTGCAGAGGCTTCCGTGCTGGCAGAATTCAATCAATCCATGGATGTTTTAAGAAGGGCTATTGTTTGGAAAAAAACATCATTCTTGGAAAAGTCAGCAAGAGAAAGGAAGACCCTTAATGAGATGTATTGACACAGAGACTGTAACAGTGGACTCATGTATATAAAGAGATTATTAGACTAGCTCTTGATAAGGAAAGGCTCAGATCCATTTTGTATAGTCATTATGAATCATAATGTACTGTATGTAATAGATTGAAAAGGTATGAAGACAGGATACATGCCTGACATACTCCCTTCCTTATTTTGAACCATGCAGTGTTTCCCTGATCTGTTCTGAGGACTGCTTCCTGGCCCACGTGTAGGTTTCACATAGGCACAATCAGGAGTTCTGAGATTCCTATACTCCTCAAAGTTAATCACAGATTGTTGTAATCCACGTAGTTAAATGCCTTTGGATAGTGAACAAAACAAAGATATTTTCTGGTACTCTTTGCTTTCTGCCAAGATTCATCTGACATCAGCAATAATATCTCTATTGCCACAACCTCTTCTTAACCTAAAACAAGGCCAGGAGTGAATTGTAGAACAGATAAACACCAGTTCATACGCAAGTTAAAACTGAAGCTTAATAAAACTAAGTCTGAGAAAATGAAAATAAGGTTTTGAGTAAATATCAACTGAATTTAGAAAGCATCTTAACAATCTATTTGATGCATTGAATACTAATGACCAAAGACTGGATGAGTTGTTGCAGGATAACATCAAGGACATCAGATATAAAGAAAGTGAAAGGTCATTAAAAGGACAGGGATGTAAGAAAAGACCAAGAGACTCTGAAATTTGCCGCAGGATACAACAAAGCTAAAACAAAAGGAAGAAATTATGAAATAAGAAAAATATATAGCAGAATATTTCAGAAAATAGCTCAAGCTGAAACTAAGCACTATAATGAGATGTGCAAAATTTAGAGTTAGAAATACAAAGAAGAAGATCATGCAAGGCATTCCTCAAGCTTAAATAATGGAAGAAAAACTTCTCACCTGATCTTACAATACAGAAGGGTTTTATGGAAAGATATTGAATGATGGGAAATATCAAAAGAAGATGGAAGGAAAACATAGAGTAACAATACCAAACAGAATAGATTAATACTTAACCATTTCAGGAAACAGCAGGTGATAGAGAACTAATGGTACTGAAGAGACATGTCCAAGCTGCAGAAAGCATTGGTCAAAAGTAAGACTCCAGGAATTGATGATTGATAGAATATTAACTGAGGTGTTTCAGCAAACAGATGCAGCCCTGGATATGCTCTTTCTTTTATTCCAATAAATTTGAAAGACACCTAGTTGCCTAACTGACTAGAATAGATCCATTCCGTGTCTATTAAAAAAAAGTGATCTAATAAAATTATCAAATAATATTCTTAATTTCATATACATGTGCAATTTCAGAAAGATTTTATGAAAAACTACTAGAGAATTAGCATTAAGGTCTTTCATTCATAGGGTCACTATGAGTCATCTACGACTCGATAGCACTTAACAACAACAATGACATGAACTTCTATAACTATCATCATTTCCATAAGTTCATAGAGTTTCCCAAGGTATATTGTTTAGGAAGTGGATGCCACTCCTGCTTCCAAGCCTGTCTTAATCTGTGAGCCCCACTAAACACTGCCCACCATGGGTAACCATTATGACAATGACACACAAATAGCACAGTGTTCAGCATCACAACAAAACCAAGTTACCTCAGTACAGCAAATAGACAGACCAGTGCCCGGTCAGGAGGGTTTCTTTCTGTTGTACATAAGGTGGCTAGGGGTGGAGCCATCTCAACAGTAACTTACACCAATAGCCAAAAACTCTACTAGGCCTGAGTCCAGCTATACTGCAGCATAAAATATGAGCATACAAAAAGAACTTGTATTTCTACATCCTCAAAACTAACAATTTTAAAATTTAAGAAATTCCATTTAAAATAGCATCAAAGAATAAAATATTTGCTACCAATGTAATAAAAGTAATGAAAACTTATACAAAACATTGTTAAAAGAAAGTAAAAGGTCTTCCAATAAATGGAGAAATATTTCATATTCATAGATTGAAAGAATTGAAATTGGTAAAGATAGTAGTATTTCTCTAGGTTCTTATAGGATTGCGTCCAATCTGTAGATAATATTGTATGTTATATGAAATAATCTTAAATTTTTGAGACTGCTCAATTTTCTTTTATGTCCATACGGGAGAACTTATTTTATTGATTTATATTCAGTTTCACAAATTTTATTTTCTGCTGGACCTAATCTGTGATTAAGCCCATCCATTGATTTCGCTCCACTTCTTTTTTTTTTTTTTTTCCCATTATAACAGCCATCTTTATTTGTAAAAATCCAGATATAAAATGTAGTCAGTCTTTCCAGGTTTTCCTGTTTTACAAAAACAAAAAGGCACATAAAAACCTTTCCCACAGACGGATGATTTTCAGGCAGCCCTCCCCCCTCCCCCCATATATCTACATGCTTCATTCTGGGATGCCTCACTTCCCCCACATGCTTCGGTGCTTTCCTACTAGGTTCCGAATTCCAAGACTGAAGTACACAAAGTGGGGTGGGTGGGTGATGGATGCAGAATGTGGTATGATGCTCCACGGCGTGCAGGACGGGGGACTAGTAGTAAGTTTCCTTCTCCACCCAGCCGCCAGGGCTTCGCCTGATGATGAGCTTTCTGACTTCATCATACACGAAGATGAGAAGTGAGTAAGGGAAGGCACAGAACCACCAGGTAGGTTTGAGGGAATACATCCTCAGGGCCACTCCCATGCCAGGGCAGTAGGAAAGGAAAGCAGCAAGGGCCGTCTCTTCAAAGAGGCCAAATATTAAGATCTTGTTCTTCATCCCCTGCTGGAAGACAGAATTCCTTCTGGTCTTGCAGATGGTCAGATCAGCCCACTGCACCACCACAATGCTGACAAAGAAGGCAGTGTGGCAGGTAAACTCCACGATTTTCCTCTGCTCGTATGTCCACTGCTGCCCGTAGCTGTCTTCCAAATCGTTGACCCAGCGGTCATCCCAGTCCATTCGGATGCCCAGGAGGTCAAAGGGGAGGAAGCCATTCTCAGCCAGAATCACAAAATAAGTGAAGAAGCCTCCCAGCGCCTGGATCATACCAATCTGTCCATAGGCCATACTGATGAGCCTCTGATTTCGCTCCATTTCTGTTACCATGTTTTCAAAGTTCAAAATTTCATTTTGTCCTTTAATAATTTCCAGATGATATTGTTGTAACTTTCTGAATAGTTATACCATTGATGGTCCAAAAATACCTCCAAACTACTTAATGAGGTCCTTTATTGTAAATATATAATTCTTCTGTTAACTGTTTCCTCTGAACTAGTTGTCTAACCTTTTCTAGTTTGCTGCAAGAAGCTGAAATATCTGTTTTCACAAATTTCTCACATAATTGTTAATCTTTCTCTGCTCTTACTCCTTTAAGTTTATGTCTTATTTATTTTTACAAGTAATAACAGCTAAGGTAATATACTAATTTACTATATTCATTCAATCATCATTGTTTTAATTTTTCCCTGGACAACTTATTAAGAAATTATTGATTGATGAACAGTATAAACAGACCAATTTTTAAAAAAATACTTGTATGTGGGGGTGTGTGTGTGCATGTGCGCGTGCATGTGTGCATTCAGCTACATATATAAAAAATGTTTCTGTTTATATTTACTACCCATTTGTTAATTTTTATTTTTACAACATTTATATCCTTACTTTTTATTATCTACTTGATCTATCAGTTTCTAAAACAAGTTAAACTGCAATGTTACAATTACTGTTGTGACTATTTTTGTATTTAATTTAATTTAATTTTATTTTATATATTTCTATTTTATTTTATATATTTCTATTTTAATGTACTAACTGTATAAATATTCATAACTGCTTATGTCTTGGGAGACTGAAAATGCAGTTGTTGTTATGTGCCATTGAGGCAATTATGACTCAAAGCAACACTATGAGCATGGTATCTGAACTCTCTTGTATCTTGTGCCATTCTCACCTGCTCTGACTACTTGAGCCTCTTAGTGTAGTCACTATGTCAACCTCTCTTTAGCAGCTCTTCACTTTTCTAAGCACGATGTCTCTCACTAAGGAACAACCTCTCATAGGAACATACCCAAAGTACATGGGGTGAAGCTTTATCATCTTTGCCTTCAAGGGTGTGCACTATGGCCGCACTTTTTCCAATATATATCTATTTGGTTTTGCCATCTCTTGAACACTTATACTCTTTTCCAACATCACAGCTCAGAGACATTAGTTGTTCTTTTATCATCCTTATTTATTGCTCAGCTCTCCAATGCATAGCATTTAATAAAAAGGCCATGACCTGAATCATGTGCACTTTAGTCTTCAAATTGTTATCATTGCTCCTCTATAATTTGGAGAGGTCCTTCACTTCAGAGTTGCCCAGTCCAATATGTCTTCTGATCTCCTGAATGCTGGTATCAAGTTTATTGATTGTGGATCCAAGAAAGGTGAAATTGACAATTTCAATCTTTTCTCCATCAAACATAATGTTGGTAATCAGTTTAATAGTGAGAATTTTTTAAATTTTTTTCTCATTTCTTTTTTTAAAATAAAATGTTATTTTATTTTTATTTTATTTTATTTTAATGAATGTTTACAGAGAAGTTACATTTTCATTCATTAGTTGTTGCATATTTTACCCCATCTCCCTCCCTTCTCCCTCTCTTCCCCCTCTCCCAATTCACTTTTTTAAAACATTTATTCATTGTTGCACAATTACTTACCTCCCTTCCCCCAGTCCTCTTTGAAATAATGTATCTCTTATTCTGGGCTGCTGTAGTATGTATAATACCTAATCATATTCCTTTTAAACAGTTCTTTCCTTCGAACTTTCTTTTTTTTTTAATTAAATTTTATTAGTTTTAATGAATATTTACAGAGATTTTGGGTTTTCATTCATTCATTGTTGCACTGTTTTCTCCACCCTCATCCCCAGTTCGTTCTTCTTTCCCCCCGCATGTCTGTTTTAATTGTCCAATTGCCACAGTGCTTGTCAAAGCCAGTTCTGATTAATCTCCTTTG